AACGGTCAATCCCACTATTCGTTGGTAAAAGAGTAGCCCAAGAGTTGGCGGTGGGTGATGATGACTAGCTGCCTTCCCTCTAGTATTACACTGCTAAATTAGGGACGGCTAGCGCAGATAGCCTCGTGTATCTTTGCGCAAAATTCAAAAACAAACAAACAAACTTACTGTGTTAGTATAACTTTTCATCCCATCAAGCATACTGTACTAGTATGTCGAGTAACAGAACTTATGGTACAAATACAGTGTTTGCTCCTAAAAAAGATAATTTTACTGGTTTAATATATATCTTCTAGGTCCCATTTATGAAAGTGATAAAATCTTTACTCCAAGAATATTTTTTCTTCAACAAATACAATTTTTTTCATTTTAGGTCAGCCTCTGTTATATTGGGTCAGCAGGCACATGTCAGATTGGAGTACAGTAGCTTTCAACTTGGCTGTTCTAGTCAATCTTATTGTTGCTTTCTTCTACCCGTTTCCTGAGAAGACAGGTGTAGTACATATCTGATGTATAATTCAATTGAGGTTAAGGAAGAGTTACTTGTAATTGCATAATTTTTAAACGTACTTCAGTGAATGTGCCAGCTGTTGCTCTGCATATTTGTTTCAACTTTCCCGAGCACTCTGTAGAAGTGCTAATCTGTATATCTTTATAACACAAAAATAATACTATATAAAATTATTAACTCTCTCACTGACCTATTTATGCATAAACAACTCTCTCAATGCTAGGTTTATGTTTAGAAACAATATAAAGAACAAAAGGTCAAAACTTAACTTGAAACTAGTAAACTTTGGGAAGTTGAAAAGGGAATACACTTTTTTCATGTTAGTACAAAATTTCACACTTGCATGGAAACGTTCTATTAATTTTGTATAGCCATTCGGGAAGATACTTGTATATTTTTTACTCTTTACCTAATCAAAACCATGTTACTTCTAATACTTTGGAGTATATGAAACTTCTGAAGTTTTATTCTTCCAACTAAGTAAATAGTTTGCAGTTATTTATAAAAAAACACCACTATTTGTCCAAGGTAGAAGTGTGTATTAAGTAATCGATTTGAAGAAAAAATAACATTTCAGACCTGATAAGGGTCATCAATATGTATGCCAATGATAAGGCCACATTGTCTTGCAAGTTTGTTTTTTTCAGTTTGCAAATAGAACCTACAAGAAAAATCTACAATCTACATATATATATATATATATATATAGAGAGAGAGAGATAAACATTTGTGTAAATTTGTCTGAAATCACTTTGTGAACTATTGCTGAAGTTTTAATTTTTAAGTTTTAGTTTTTATTAAATGTTACAATACTTGATATGAAGTTTTACATGGGCTAAAATTTTGCCATCAGCACTGCTGAATGCAATAGAACACTGGGTTAAAAAACTTTGCTTTTTTATGAATGAGTTGTTAAAAATTTTGTTTTATGTATTTCAAG